CCTGCCCCCCAGCGCTGCCTGTGGGCAGGGGCCGCTGCTCCTCCCCAGCCGGGCTCGAAATACCCCCAAGTAATTGGGGCGTGGGGTTGTTTCTCATCGAGGTTAGTAATTTAATCGAGGCTGGTCGCGTAGCTTGTGTAGTTCTTCTGGGTTATTTTTTCCACAGACAGGTCCCGTAAGCGTAATCTTTGGTTTACATGCTGCGCGCTGGCGTGACCACGGTGGCTTTCTGCTTATTTGGGTGTTTCCCGCGCTCCCCCCCGCAGCTGGAAGCCTGTGCGGGCAGGGCTTGCCGGCCGTGGCTCTCCCTGCTGCTGCCTGCCCTTCTCCTCCCGGTGCTGGGCTGCTGCGGAGCTGGTCACATGCTGGACATGGATCAGGCAGCCAAGAGGCTGAAGCCTTAAGCTCTGCTTGTGGTAACATCAGTGCCGAACAGAAGGCCCATTTGTTAAGGCATTTTGGCTTTGAACAGCTGTGGGTTTGGCTCCTCTTAATTAAATGAAGCCTTGATCTAATTGGGTCGCTTACTAGATCTTTCTTAATGTCAGATTTACTACACAGCATCATCTCTCGCTTTATTCCCCTCCTACTCATGTTGCCTGTAATATCTACTCAGGGAGGTTATGTCATCCGGCGCTTCCTAACGCTAGCTGTATTTCAGGATGCAAAGATGGATTCTAGCCAGTCTCGCAGTAAGTAACGTGGTCAAACATGTTCTGATAAAAGCTCTGTCTGTGAAAGAGTGCCCTGATCTGTCATCGTATTGCAGAAGTGATGAGTTCATCTTGTTCCCATGAGACAAAGGATACTGTCCTGTGGAGGATCACTACCTTTGTGGGACGTGTGAGCTGTTAACTCTGCTATTAATTCTGTGTTGGGGAGGAATGAGGCAAGATGTCTTGGCTGTTGGAGAGCTGGTCCTGCACACTTGCTTTCAGAGCTTAAAATTATACCTGGCCCATGAAAATGGGGGATGACGGACAGAGAGCATCTTCGTACTCGTGCTTCTGGATTTTATATTGGTGACATAAGAGGAGTGCCATTGGTAAAACTTTAGGCCTGCAGTAAAAGGTCATCTTACTGGGCAGGTATTTCAGCAATGGTTGTTTACAGTCAAAGACCAGTTTAATCAAAAGGTACCAAATAGGTGAGGGAGGCCTGTACATTCTTCTATGGTTGGGCAAGTGTGGCATTCACAGTACTAAAATAAAACTGATTGCTGGCTGAAATAAGCCTTGATGACTAGTTCCTTTGCTGTAGGCAGCTGTCTGTAGGTGAAATAACACTGGGGAGTCTATCTACATTTTCCTGGTTAATATGAAGTATAAACCTAGGTGTAATCCTAAAACTTCTGTATCTCTCTTCTTGTGCTAGTGTCTAGAAGAATGACATGCCTCACTTGTCTTGAGGCTTATGCTGGTTTCTGTCATGGCAAGGAGAAGTCCTTGGTTTAAAACGAGTAAATATCCCAGTGAACCCTGGCATGTCTCCCTGAATAGTCAGAAGTCTGGAGTGGTATGGGGTCTGCCCTTGTTGTCTTGTTCTGGGCTGTGGTCAGTATCGCTCAGGAGAAAAGCAGTCAAAACTTGATTTGGAATCTTGAGTTTCTTTATCTTTTGAAGCAAGCAAGTCATAGCATGGGACATAACAGGATGCTAAGAGGGAAACTTGAGCAGTTCAGCTTAAGATGTATTGAATGACTGTGTCGTGGCCTGGAAGGAGCAGAGATGTATTGCACTGGGGCAAGTTCCTTGTCCACAAGGAAAGGTTTTTCCCTCCACCCATACTTACTTTTTTCTTTTTGAAGTAAAAGGTAAAACTAAAAGGTACTTCTGGAAACTTACATAGCCAAAACATCTGAGCTGAATGTGAAGTTAAAGCCCCAATACTTGGTGCCAACATGACAAGTACGGGCTGCATGCTCTCTAGTGAAAGCAGAGAATGTCTTGTCCAGCACTTGGTAGCATCTTCTTCCCTCTGTGAACTGCTGCTTCTTTCTTACCTGGGTTCAGTTTGAACTACTGCTGCAGGTGTTGTGACATGTCAGTAGTATCAGTTGCTGAATCACTTGAAACTTACTGGTACACTGCAGCTGTCTTTGTTATTGCCTCTAACTGTAGTTGGACAGAAGTAAGAATAACAAGGATTTTTGCAGTACCTGTATAAAGCATGTGAGAGACTTTAATTGTCACTTTTTCCATTTTTTCATGTAAACATACAATACATCTGGCCTCTCAGGAGTGTCCTGGTTTTGGTTGGGATAGTTAATTTTCTTCCTAGCAGCAGGCATAGTGCTGTGTGTTGGATTTAGTAGGAGAAGAATGTTGATAGCAACAACTAAAAACATCAGTGTGTTAAGTACTGCTTATGCTAGTCAAGGACTTTTCAGCTTCCCATGCTCTGCCAGGTGCACAAGAAACTGGGAGGGGGCACAGCCAGAATACTTGATCCAAACTGCCCAAAGGGCTATTCCATACCATATGATGTCATGCTCAGTATATAAACTGGGGGAAAAAAGGTTGGCTGGGGGGCAGTGATCGCTGCTCAGGAGCTGTCTGGGTATTGGTCGGCAGGTGGTGAGCAATTGCATTGTGCATCACTTGCTTTGTATATTACTATTATTATTATCATTATTATATTGTTATTATTATCATTACTATTTTACTTATTTCAATTATTGAAAAGTTCTTATCTCAACCCAGGAGTGGTTCTCACTCTTACTCCTCCGAATCTCTCCCCCATCCCATTGGGGTAGGGGGAGTGAGCGAGCGGCTGCGTGGTGCTTAGTTGCTGGCTGGGGCTAAACCACGACAGGAGTAATGCTCAAATACTTGTAATATGCTTTAAAGACTAAAGTTCCTGAAGACTCAGTGTGATTCTGGCAGGTACATTAGTGTCAGATTCCTCAGGGACTAAGTTCTTGCATAAAGATGTGATGAGAGTTTACCTAGAATTCAAGGGCTTGTCTTAAGATACTAACCTAGTTTTTTTTCCCCCAAAGTTTGATTTTCTAACAGGAAATTGCTAAAACTGTGCTGTACTTTTAGAGCTTACCTGTTATTACTCTTTGTCTTCCCCTTCTGTTCCAGGGTTCCTTGGAAATAACACAGAGTTTGGAAGATGATCCTCTACTGGATGCACCACTTATTTCGTCTCATACATTGCATTCCCAACTGAGGCCAAAATTTCATGCTATCCCAGCAGTTCTCCTTGCCAATTTTCTATTGCTAATACATGTAAGTTTAAGAAGCATGATTTTCTTATGAAAACTTGCTGTTTCTGTTCTGAATTCTTAATGGGTCACATAGACAGTTCTTCTGACACTTGCATGCATGGTTGTTCCAAACAAGTGAAGTCTTACTTGCTAATGCATTTTGATAATGTATATGCTACATCATACTTGCTGTGTTCTCATTCTGATTGTTTGTTGGTGCTAACATGCTATGACATATCTTGTTAGGAAGAAAAGCCTATTAAGTAGTAGTTCTTCTATGCTGTTGGAAATGTACTTTTAAAATAGTACTACTGTAGAACTGCTTAGACTAGTTATAGAGGGCCAAGATAATTTTGATGCCATGCCTTTTGGAGGCTGAACTTAATGTCACAGGGAAGGCTTAAGGTATTTCTAATGGTAACTAAGCAAGTAAAGTTGGAATTGCTGCAGGGGTTCTGCATGGTAGTGGATGGAGAGATAAAGGAATCCAAATGTTACTTCCAGTTCTGACTCTTGAGGGTTGAGGGTGAAAAGTACAGATAAAGGACAGATCTTGTACCTAAAAGATGAAGGCCTTTTTGAGGCTGGTAGGGAGACTCCTGCCTAGTGGTGAGCTTATCCTTGATAAGCTGAAGAGGTTTATTGTCGCTTGTGAGCGTGTGGAAACCAAACATGAAGAAAGGGTGAAGAGCTCTGATCCTAAGATCTAACTGAAGTGGTGCTTTCATGGTGCTTAGGGACGTGGTTTAGTGGTGGATTGGATTGTGTTGGGTAAATGTTTGGACTCAAACTTACAGGTCGTCTTCTAACCTACATGTTTCTATGATTCTATAATGCCACTAACACTGACCTGAAGATAGTATGTTTATAAAGCCAGAGACTGCACAAGACATGTATTGCTAGTTATTGTAGAGCTTTATTTGATCTCTACAAAAAATGCTGTGCCCAGTGCTCTGTAAAACATGCTGTCTACCAGAACTTTAAAAGTACATACCAACCTCTAAGGTATCTCCTGGGGCAGCTCTTCAAACAATATGCCCTGGCCTAATTTTAGAAGTAAATGTTTTGTGGGCCTCTTTGTAATATCAAGAAATGTCTCGCTGTCAGGTAGACTTAGGAAAGACTTCTGCTGTTCTGTTGAATAACAGCATGTTATCATGTATCCAGCTTGTATCCAGCCATACTCCCTTGCACTACCAGAACAACACTGGTGCCATCCCATTAGGATGGCACTTGAAGTCTGCGTTAGGAAGGTAGACACTCCTGTTGGCAGTAGAGCATGTTTTTCCACCTAGCCTTGGGGGCCTTACTATCTACTACCGTAATTGATGTAGCCAAACATCAGTCATCCAGATCTTGGGAAACTGCTGGCTCTTCTGCCCCCTTCACTTCCCCTCTCCTGCAAATGGAGAGAAGTGTGGGGAGGCGAAGAGAAAGAAAACTGCTGAGGCCTCTGTCAACACATACTTTTCCAGGTAAAATCTTGCTACTATTGCGGAACCTGCTGCAGTGGCCAGTTGGTTTTTAGAGCAAAATGGAGAAGTATCCTTTTCTGTTGGTGAAATACAGCATTATAATTGCCACATGAAATGGTGCTGTCTCCCTTCCTGAAAATGTGGATGGGGAAAACAAGCTTATTGGGTTTCCTTCCCCGTGCTTCTGCAAATGTGCACAAACCTTGTGGAACATGAAGATACCAGGTTAGCTTCTGATGCACAGCCTGCCAAAGGGGCAAGTATACTGGAGAAGTTAAGCCATCATAGTATTATGCAGTAGAGTTGTAATGCATCTCTAAAGTAATTTGTGTGTAACTTGGAGTATTTCTTCTCTGCCCTCCTGTGCCAAGAAATGGGGTTAGGCAGCAAATAGCTGCTTCAGTGCAGCTGCCTGGTTACATACAGTTCTGGAGTGTGTGGGTAGGATATGCTGAAGTGTGGTGGGGCTGGCTTTTTGAGTGGCTTTCCTTTTGCCAAACCTTGCTTTTCTGCAGGCTTCTGGCTCCTATCAGGAGACTCTGGAGAGCAGTGTAAAGTGTACAGGCTAGAAATAACTTATTAACCCTGTCTTTCCTTAACCCCCTCTGTATATAGCCATACACAAAACTGAACTTAAAGTTATTCTTGGAGTAGTATTTATATATAAAAATCCCCTGTACTGGGCTGAAGCACCTGTTGTTGGACTACCCTAAAATGTAAGCAGAACATCTTTAATAAATGCCACCCTTAATGCCAGCTACCTGTTTCCTCTTGTATACACTGCTCTAGTAGATTAGTAGAGCTGCAATGCTAGGCTGTTCCTGCTTGCATCAGTTTAATATATCTATTTTTTGTAGTGAAATACATTCCTAACACCTGGAGGGAGTAGAACTAGATGTGTTACTGTCTTAAAATGGCAAATCAAACAGTAAATGGGCCAAGAAAAATATGGGTTAGCTGGATTATTCTTCTTTTGTAAGAAAAGGAGGTAGTAAAATAATACATTAAATGAATGTTTTGTTGATAACCATCCCTCTTATTTTGCTTCTTAATCTAGCTACTTAACCCATCTCAAGATAATTTGGGATTTAATCTGCATTTGAAGTAACTGTTTTAGGGATAATATAGAACACACCCCTCCCCACCACCACCTTCTACCCTGTCTGTCCTCTATAATGTCTCTTTTAGATATTCATGACTGTGTGAAAGTTATTTGCTTTTCATCCTCCCTCCAATTACTTAACTCTATTCACAACCAGATCAAGTTAAGGGCAGTTCATATCAAGAGTAATTAAGTGGTTCTGAATGGTTAATTTCTGTGAAGAAAGTTACTTGAGAAATGACAAAAATATGAAGAATAAGTTCAAGGGAGTAGGTAGGATGTTGTGGGCTCTTGGATATCCATAGAATTAAGTATGGAAACAAAGCTAGCAAATAAAAATCAGATGCTTTCTTCCATCTTGTTCTGATGTGCTTCTATCAGTTACGAGATGCAGAACATTGGACACTTTTTTTTTAAGCTAAGTGTATTAGACTTCTGCAGACTTGAGGCAAACTAATTTTTTTGTTGTTGTATATAAAAGTGCTCAATTTACTTCTGTATCAGTGGGAGTTGTTTTTGTTTTCAGTTCTGTTTTTAAAATATTCCTATTCTGCAGAATGAACCAGGATGAGAAAGTACCATATTTTCTTGTTCGCCGAATGAAGACAGTAGAGCATATTTTCTATGACAAAAATTCTGTAAAGATTAAAAAAAAAGCCCTGTGTGCATACATATACCCCAGATAATGTGCGCCCAAGACTCTGTCTTCTAGCTGGCCAAAAGATTGCTGATACTCACTGATGATGATGAAAAGTTGGAGAAAAGTCTAGAAGACAGGAAAAGTTATGGCATAATGGCACTAGTCTGAAAGGACAAGTGTATATACAATCTGATTGACTATAGTCTGTCCATTCTGACATAAGTTCTGAGCAAAATGGAAAAATCTGATAGTAAAAATACTAAAGAATGATTAGTAACTGGCAAAGATGCTTACCTAGTGTTAATAATTGTAAGTTACTATGATGATGTTTCACTTTTTTCTAATGGCATAACCTGGAGATTATTTTTAATATAGTAAAGGGTTGATTTTCACTTACAAAATGTCAATGTAAAGAAACGTAGACTGTACCAATAAGATATGAGGCTGTCCTGCAGAGCACTAACAAGTGTAACTGAATGAGTCAAAGATGTGATTTTTTTTTTTTTGAGGCAGTATAAATAAAGTTCCCCTTAAAGCAAAAAGACATAGGAAAGAGGGTCCAGAAGTAAGATAAATTGACTATGAAGGGGAGACTTGGGGAACAGTGAAATTGATTTAGAGGAAATTCTGGCAAGAGTGGTGATTCTCAACTCTGTTCAGCTGGAGACTGGTTGCCCTCCTGGAAGACAATCTTACTACTTAGCAATTTCAGTCATCAGTATGTTCCCAGAATGATGTGTAGTGGTTGTAGTAAGTGTCTAATGTTTTATACATTATCTCAACTCTAAAAAATCAATTCATAAAGTAACACATAATGAATAAATAGCATAAAGCTGTCCTTTTTATAGCTTAATGTTGACTTTAAGTGTTTTCTTCTCTCTTGCTTTCTCTTCCAGGTTGCTTTTGTTGTTCTAGCATTTTTAGCAGCTATGTTTTGTTCTTACCCCAATCCAAATCAGGATAAGTGCCCTGGAAACTATACTCACCCACTTAAAGTGCAGACTGTCATAATCATTGCAAAAGTAATTCTGTGGATTCTGCATGTTTTCTTTGAACGATACACCCAGTACCACCACAGTAAAGTCAGAAGCAGAGGTTACTTCTCAATATACCGATCAACAAGACATCTAAAAAGGCTTCCACTGCTGATACACTCCACAGGTGAAGTGAACTTGTTTTCCTGTCTTTTTTTTCTTCTAAAGCTTTAAGCTATGACACAATGAAAGACTGAACAGTTTATATATAAATGTGTATTACAAACTTTTAAAAACCTGCCTGTGAGCATTTATAAATGCTATTTATTTTAGTCAGATGGAGCTCCTGACTGACCTTTCTGGCCTGCCAGATGCATGTTGTAAAGAACTCTTTGTAGGGGAAAAATGCCTGCAAGTGTGAAGTTGAGTAAAACATCTAGTCTTCAGCCATAAAATGTTCAGCCAGCAGTGTCTGTGTTTGGCTGCTAGTGATCTTGGTTTGCATACTCCTTTGTCCAGTTGGCTGTGTGGCAAGACTGCTAGTCCTTCCAAGAAGTGTACTTAGCTTCTCTTTTCAAGCTCAGCAATTCCAGTAGAAAGAGATGAATTGCCTGTTGCTCAACTGCTTTCTGAAATTAGTAATATAAGCAATTTTATAATCTCCAGCAGAGCTATGTGTAACATTCAGCTCTGCTTGACTGCCTTGTTCTACTTTCTACGGACAACAGGTGGTGTATGGTAATAGTTTAACTCTATCCTAAGTTACATCACTGGCCAGTGAAGCTGAAAGAAGTATTGGTACAATTAGCTGGTGTAGCTTTTTGAACAGAAACTACTTCAACAAATCTAAAATCCATCTAACTGGAGGGGATTTTTCACACAAATAGCAGGGGAAAAGAGAACAGTGTTGGCTTTTAGAGTATTTTTGCCTCTTATAATCCCACCTCCCTTCTGTAAAGCTTCTGAATAACTGGAATAGAAATTTTTTTCACCAGAATGGGTAAGTTAGATGGTCCTGCTTTATATAAAACCCTAGCTTGCTTTCTACCCAGTCACTAAAAGAGCTAGTCAGCTTGATGAATGTACAAAACTTCAGGCTCTGGCCACTAGATAGAGCTCTGAAGATAAAGATGTGGTTGGAGTGCAGTGACAAAATCAAGCCACAGCAGGCTTAAGGGTGTTTCAAAAAAGTAGAAGGACTATTTCCAGATTACATTGCAATAGGCAGAATACTTAGCCCTGTCTTCAGTCCTAGATGAAGCCCACTTCTCCCCTACCAGACAAACTCTGGGCATGTGTAGATGTTCAGGTGCAATCAGTTGTGTGCTGTGGACTCTTGAGGAAAATAATATGTAGTTCAGAAGGTAGTTAGCTCCATTACTGCAAATGTCCTGCCATGTTAATTGCTGTTTATACCACTTCCATCTTGACAGTTCAGTTGCCTAACAGTATGGAAGATAACTGTACAGTCCCCTGGTTACATTAATGGTCTTAACACACTTAGTGCTCTATCCAGATATTGCTACAGGAAAGAAAAGACCATTTCACACTCTGTATCAGAGAAGTGGGTGTGTAAAGAATTAAGAATGCTTGTTAGTCTGTAATTCAACACTTGCCCTCCTTGACTAATTGTGCTCACTTTAGTTATACTTGCAAGTTACTGAAAGTTTTAAAATAATAGCCAGGCAACTGGAAGCCTGTGCAAGTGTCTCCCTTTGAAAGGAAGGTATTTGGGTTTTTGGCTCTGTTAGCCTTATGTAAATACACTCAAATCCACCACTTGAAGGAAAACACTATCTCACCTTGAATTGACTAATGTGACTTAGGAATTGACAGAAATTAATACCCTCCAAGCAGTTTTGGGGATGGATAGCAGCAACAAGGCTAGAGACTAAGTCCACACATGTAGATTAGGTATTTCTAGTGTGTTTCTTCCACTCTAAGTCAGAAAAACCTATAGGAAAACTCATAATTCTCTACCATTACAGTCAAATGCTAAAATGAAACCTCATTTTGCTGGCAGCAGTTGTAAGCTTGCATCACCTGTGTAAGGAAATAAGCCAAAGAGGCAAGTATGGTATGAAATGGAAAAGCATTACTGAAATGTTGCAGCCTAATGCAGATACTGGGGATGAGAGAATACTAAGTTATTTTCAACAGCTAATGAAATTGTTGCACCTGTAAAATATAACATTTGTTTTCTAGGTAATGCAGCCCTGCTTTTGATTCTGTCAATGCAGCATTCCTTTCCTGATCACAGTAAAGTGTACCTGTATCTTATCCTGGGAGTCCTGGGCCTGGAGCTGATTAGCTCCCTGACATGCCTAGTGATTTACACAGGTGAGAGGCAATTCTTGCCGCCTTGAGTGAGATTTGTTATAGCTGCTACTCAACTGTTTTGTTTGCCCTCACAGTAGCTCACTTGGTATACACCAAGACATTTAACTGCAACTATAAATACTGAATGATTCTGTGCTTGTAGAAGAACTAAGGCAATTCCAAAATAAATGGGAAGGTTGTCAGGCTTGATTTTTTTTTTGTCTCCAAGTGCTGCTACATGAAAGCTCCGTGTTACTTACCTCAAAGTTGTTGATCCAGTGAAATGGTGATAAATGCATAATTATTGCAAAAGCGTCCTGTGAACAGGCTTGTCTGTTTAGCAGTGTGTTCTCAAATGTGTGCACCACAAGCTGTGAAGCGGTAAGAGCTTGCTGGCTTTATCAGACTGGCTTCTGGGACTTACATGTGGGACTTGCATAGTTGATAGCGTGATGTGCCTTAGTCTCCAGGCTCTTCCTTTTCTCTTAGTCCTCCTCCAGAAGCTTCAGTTCCTTTTGTTGCTAAAAGGGAAGATTTTCTGATGAATGTTTAAAAAAAAAAATAATTGTGGCTCTTAGAATCTGTGCCAATACTAAAATAAGATACTGCATCATCAAACTGTGAGGCATTGCTTTGTACTGTCACTGTTGGCTTGTAACATTATCTGCTTTTTGGTGTAACTTACCAAGACTCGATAAACCTCTTTCCATTAAACTATTGTAGGAGTATCTAAAATGTTGATTAATAAATGCTTGAACCAAATAGTTTTCTCTAATCTAATCTTAAACTATTTGGATTTATGGCTTGCATTAACTCAAATGAGAATAACTGGGTTGAAAAAAAAACCCACTGAAAAGGTACAAGACACTGAAAAATGCAATTATTTTTGTTGTCTGAAGAGAACTAGAGATGTTTACTGTGAAGTCCATGTCTGTTTAAATGACATGTAGTTCCTGCTCTTGAGTTAGATAGCTTATACTCCTGCTCCTGAGATGCTGCTTTCGGCTTATTTACAGCTACAAACAAGGAGATGACTCCTTAGCTAAGTGGCCTCAGTAGCACTGGTTTCCCTGGGAGGGAAAAAAAAAAAAACCAAAACCAATGGGCAAAACTTAGTTTGCTCCTGACTTCTAATCAAACAGGAGGAAGGATGGTGGAAATGCTGCCTGCCTTCAGGACTGCATGAAGCTTAAAACGTAAAGGAAGAACTATGTCTATGGTGGACAGTATTTGTGTTAATCTGACTACTTTTTGTGATTTCAAGATTAGTAATTAATCTAGGATGTCTTTTCTTTTGGAGTAGAAAACTTTGGTTTGTTATTAATAATGTAATGACACACAGAAATACTACCAAGTAGCTTGGTCATCTAGGAAATAAAATATATTCTTGACTGTCTTGCAACAACATTGAAATCAAAATGCACCAAGAAATAAGGTCCCAGCTCTAAACTATGTACTCCTCTTACATCTGTGCAGAGGCCTGAATGCTGTTAGACTTATCAGGCTTTCCCCTGAATGGACCCACATGGCTCAAGTAGACTTAACTGTCCTCTGGAGGAATAAAGGCAATGATGAGGGAACACAAGCATGGCAGTCCCAGAGAACTATTCCAAGAATGCTAGAGATCATCCTTCTTTGCATATGCATACTTACTTTCCTGAGAAACTCAGGAAATAAAAGATAAATTGCAAAACTTTAACAGAACATCAGGAATTCCAGTGAAACGTTATTTCTTACCCTTAGGCCTCCTGGAGCTCAAAGAGCTACATGGTGTGTGTCTTACCCTGGCAGAAAAGCATAAGCAACTGCAAGAAAGTTGACCTTCACAGTAGTAAGGTTTGAGCCTGAACTTCCACAGGAGCTCTCAGACTACTTTTCTGCTTATTTTTCACCAAAAGGGTCCTGTTTCCTGGCTTGTGCTGTGCCAGTTCCTGTTTGGACCAAATCCATTAGCCAACTTACACTAGAAGTTGTGGGGAGCAAAGTTTTGCTTTGCAGCTGATGGAGGCTTGAAGAGACTAGTGAGTCCTGGAACTAATGTGAAGGAGGGACAGAACTGCATTGCTAGGAAGGAGTAAGGCAGTCTTTTGGTAAACAGCTACTTTATTTCCTCAGAAGCCCTAAAACAACAGTCTAAGCTTCATTCTCTAAAGCTTGGTGTGCAGAACCAGGGTTAATTTTTATGTAACTTAACACTTGCCTCAAAATTGGGAAGACCTCCCATCACCCTAGGTTGCCTTTTCCAGTGGGCAGTGTAACTTGTTTTCTTGTTTTTCCATCCCAGTACATATTGAGGTAAGCTAAGAGACTGCCTGCATGTCTGTCTCTTGGGTGTAGAGGTGTTCTTTAACATTTTAAGCATCAATCTAAAGCTCTACTGAAGCAAAACAAATGTATTTGGCCAGTTGCGAAAATAGCTTGAGAATCTGTAGCAATAGTGACACTCAGATAATTACTGTTTTCTCTCAAACAGAGCAGACTATGTGACTGGAAGCATGAGCTTCTTTAGTAGGATAATTTTAAGGGCAGTCCTCTGCTCAGGGTTAGAGTGCCCCACTCCAAGGGAAGCACTTAACAGATACCACTTACATTAGCTGATACTATCTTAACAGTAGCTGAGCAACAATGGGGAGATTAAGGTCACTTTATACTAGCAACTCATGATCAACGTCTTTGTTGTGTTAGTATATTACTCCTAAATTTTGGAGGGAAGGTAGCACCAGTTCATACATTGTTTCTCCACTGTAGAATAATTATTTCTTAACTACTAGAATGAGGTATAAGTGCTTATCTGTATAAGGTTCATGTACCTGACTTATTTTCATCTAAGTATTACTGCCTCACAAATGAAAACAGTGGCATGGAATACCTGACTAATTCTAGATATTTCTTCTTGCTTTTTGGAGCTATTTTATGAATTGTATGGTGCACAATGCCCTGGGAAATACTACTGCCTGCCTTAAAAATCTCCATTCAGCAGTGTATGTATATATAGCTGTAGGATGCAGGGGCAGGGATTCAGAAGTCTACAAGGAATTGCTGTGATTGACCTACAACAGACTTGACATACCTAAATTCAAGTGAGGAAAACGTGTATGGAATGAAGTATGACACAGACAGCTCTAAATGCCAGCTTACTGTTGTAAGTTTGTTATTGATAGGGAGTCAAGCTTTAAAAGGTTTACTAAATATATGTATTTAATGACTTTCTTACATACTTCTAATATCACTTGAATAAAAGACTAACATTCCCACAAACAATGCATGTTGGGAATTCCACATTCATTCCTTCGTGGCTTTATTTGTAGAGGAATACCGTCATAGAAATAACTAACCTTTGAGCCTAACTTGTAGTTAACCTCTGGAGGGTCTTGGCATTGTTTTAGCGGAGTGGCCTGTAATAAACCCCATCATATTACTGACTTGTAAGGACAGTCTTTCTCTGCAGTAGTGTGGATTTCTGATGGAGATGGACTGTAATGTTTTTAGTGGCATTACATGTATTGCTTCACAAGCAGCCCTAACTGCAGAGTCCAGAATGCATAGTCCAGATCTCTTGGTGCATTCCTTTAATCAGGATCTGACATTGAATGGCTTCAAATATTTTCAGCTTCCTTCTAGAAATAATGCAGAGGGTGCCTACAGCTTCTCCCACCCCCACCCATCCCCATTCCATACCTGTTCAATTTAATCTTAAACTTTATTCACAGGTGCCTGGCTTCTGGTTTTGATTGCTAACATTGCAAGGTTCATAATGTGAAGCTGATCACAGAGCCACTCTGGTTTGAATACTTAATGGCTTTCTGTAGCAAGTCTGCCCTAGTTTGAGAGCAGGCAGACAAGCTGCTGCTTTGCTGCAGGTGGTCTAGTTAAAATAGTCTTTATCAAAGGGCTTAAGTTAGAAGTTCTGACCTAGAAACTAGTATCAAAACTCTTTACAACTTTTTTATGGCATGTTGCTTAACTTATGGCCTGAATTTGGAGGCTGAATCTCAGTAACCTCTCAGAGGCAACTAAGGTTTCACCCTCTTAAGTGACAGACTAAACTTTGCAGATGTTAAGCAGTATGTTCAAGCTTCCCCATTCAGGTCTTCACTGTGATCTTTTAAGCAGCAGGACTGAAAAAAACCTAACCAAACAAGAAAAAAAAAAACCACACCCCACCCCACCACTAACTTATAATCAAAGCCATTCCAGAAATGAGCAGAGATAGATTCTGCTTTTTTTTTTTCTTTCCTTCCTTCCCCAATCCCCAGATTCCCTTATCTTTTCTAAGGCAATCTTATCTGTTATAGATTTTTTATTTTTACCTTGGAGCCTGGTGATAATGCTTTTCTCTTTTGGTTGCTTTCCAACTAATTTATAAAACTTTGTTGTAGTGAAAATAAGCAACTTCAATCGTGCGAAGCCAAGACCTGACATAATTGAAGAAGAAAAGATGTATGCCTACCCTAGTCATATTACCTCAGAAATTGGATTCAGGTAAGATTTTCTGTATTAATCTTGTGCTGTGTTCAGCCATGGTACATAGGTACCTAACACCAGCTAATGTAATTGCATTACTTATAATAATCTTAAATATATAATCTTAAATCTGTCAACCAAAGCAGAGGTGGGAATAATAGTTTTGAAGGAAACTATATGCTTAAGGCTGTTATATGCACAGATGACAAGTAGCACAATCTTGTATTTTCTACGTAGTAACGGCAATTTGTTATGAGGACAGAAATTATTTGACCATTTATGGCTGGTTGCATGAATCTTTAATGTGCTATAAATAACTGTGCTTAATCTGTGTTACTTGACTTTATATGGGAGTTTGAGGACAGATACCAGTGTCTTACACTGTTACTTAAAGTATGCCTACAGAAGCCTAGCTTCTTCAGCCAGTTTCAAGCAAGGAAATACATTGTGGGCAGTTGATAGTTGAAGAAGACTCTGCAGCTTTGTTCTGTGCCAGCAGTTGGACATGAGATTCTAGCAAGGGATTAGGAATATATTTCTAGTTTGGGAAGGAATTTTAAAGGTGGGTGGGGCACTTAAGAGGTAAGGAAGTTCTCAGTGAGACAGAAGCTATCCAACATTCACCTCACAAGCACTGAGACTTACTGCTTGTTTGTCCTTTGTGTACCTTTTGACTGCATGAACATCTTCCAGTTGCTGAAATAAGTCTGGTATGACTTAACAAAAACCAATCATCAAAACTAACATGGACTTTGATACAAGAATTTACTTAGAAATTTTCTAATACAGTGTGACTTGCTTCTGTATGTATGCCATAGTAAAAAATTGAAGTGCAGAGATGACTAATACTTTGGCACTTCCCCTGGTGTCACAAATGCAGCATGCACATGTTTTTGTGGAACTTGGAAGTAGATGTCCAGGATACAGGAAGGATTTAGAGTTGTCTTGAGTTTTGATACAATGTCTGACTTCCATCTTGATATAAACACCATGGTGAATGCATGGTGGACTTCATTCCTTTCTCATTCAACTTCTCCCCTGAGAAATTCTTAAATGCCCAGAGAATGAGTCTGCAACAATGACCAGCTGAGGAAAAGACTCTGATTATTTTTGATTAAAGACTGCAAGCTTCCTCTGAGAACTGATTGCAAAACAGTTATTTTAATTCAGCTCTATACAACTATGACTCTCTTTCCCTTGAGAGTTAAGGTCTATTGAAAAGTGAATCCTGTCAGCCCTTCAGTTGACCCTGGTTATAAGAATGTTTTTTGAATATTATGACCTCTACAACCTAAGCTACTGATCATGGACCTCTTCTGGTCCTCTAAGTTGGTAATGCAGCTTACTGGTTAAGATTGCAAGCTTTCTGTCTACAAAACTTGTTCTCTTTATTTTTTTTCCAGCTTAACTACAGTAGGTTTTTAATTGGACCTAAGCTTTTTTCAACTCTAGCTATCCTCCTCAGCATTTTCTAAGAACTATGAAAAGGGCAATGTTCTTCCACAAAATGCTGCAAGGCTGAGGAGCAACTTTCTAAGCTCCAAGATGCTCTCATGTGTACTAAGAGGGCAGATTTCCCATGTCAGCTAGGAAGAAATAATGTGTAAGGGAAGACTGGAATATGCTCAGGCACTGGTACTTGTTCTTGCTGTATTTTTAAAAGTTTCTAATTATAGATTTGACAATTCTGTACTCTTACAGATTTTTCTTAATTAACTTGGCTTTACTTAATGTTGCAGTGTTACTATCCTAGTTAAAATGAAGGGTGTATGAAAGCTGGAGATATTTGAAGTGAGAGGTTAGTTGTACATGAGGTGGATCTGAAATAGCACAACTGTTTGGTGCTGATGCTGTTATGGTATTGTGACAGATGATATCACTGTATATAATAGTACATCATGTATGCTACTGCAGGTTAATCAAGAAATTTCTGTCTTAAACAGCTTATGATCACCCCAGCTGAATAAAAATACTATGCCTGCTTAAAATAAGCTTCCTAATGTAGTTGGAAAAGGTGCCATGGATTTCCTAGTACAATTATTATAAAATTATTATACAATTATTATAAAAGCATGTTGTCTGGCTTACTAACTTTAAGATTGTTAAACAGTAAAAATCCTCATACTACTACTTCTCTGTAACTGTCTAGTGGGAAATATGTAACTGGATTATGTATACATGGTGTGAAGTTTAGCCAAACTTTCTCTTCCTGCCTTCTCATGCAAAATGGAGGTTAAACATAAAGGTGTTGTAGATTGCCTCCTCCCTCATAAGTTAGTTGAGATCAATGAAAGTAAAACGAAGGAAGCAACTTGTTTAAATACTTGTTAATTAGCTCTGACACTTCATATGTTAGAAAGCTGCTATCACTTATTGAAACCGATATTCACTTTTGTTATTTCAAGGGAAAATTCAAGTTTAGAAGAGATAGTTGAGAAGCAAGGAGATGTAATAGAGTATCTTCAGCGACATAATGCACTGCTCAGCAAGAGACTATTGGCACTAACATCTCAGCAAATCAAAACTTAACAGCATTTAGAAAACTGCTATTGGAGCTCTGGAGGGAACACAAGGCAATACAATATCCAGACTGACTTGTACATATGACTCTTCTTCAATCGTCTTTCACATTTTGAAATAGAAGTTAAGCTGGAAGAATGAGCTCTGCATACACTGTAAACCTATTACAACTGGACGCTCTGGCTCTCTTCATCTGTTCTGGAGCTTCAAGGATTTTTAATTCCTAATAATTGGTTAAAGTTGGACCTGAGGTAATGGTTTAACTTTGTTCAGTTGTTGTTATTTTGTATTGCTGTAACCTTTAAGCTTCAAACTACCAAAGTACTTTATATTTCTAGAATACAATTTTTTTCTCTAGAAAAATCTGTCTTTGCAAAGGGTATCTTTTAAGTTTCTTGTGCTAAAGTGGAGACTAGATGTACTCTGTCACTGAGTCCCATTACGTCCGGTGTTAGAGGTGGTGTACTTCAACAATCCTATACAAAGTAGATACTGCTTTCTAGATCAGTCTCCGTTTCTCCTTTGTCAAGAAAAGGAATGAAACTGTTGCCTGTGCCAGTGGGGAAATTTGGCATACAATTTAGTATTAAAAAAAAAGCAGTGGGCACCCTAGAATGGCAAATATCACATAAGTGTGTGGTACAAACAATGTCATGGGTAAGCAATGTGAGCAGTTGTTCAGAATTCTGGCTTTAAAACCTGTAAGAGGGACCTCTAGGGCTGATGACTTTCCTGTTACTAGGAACCTGTGTCAGCTAATAATCAACAAGATTCCTACTCTGCTGACTGAACTAATGTAATAAAAAAATACTTGAGAGTAAGCTTTTTCATTGACCTAGTAACTAACTTGTGTTGAATGAGTTCAAAGATCCTGTTAAAGATGCATAAGTTACAGGCATCCTTGCTCTTTAACTCTTCAAAAAATGGCAGCATCTTGATTCAAAAGCTAAAATGGTGTTATGCGGGGAGGTGAAAAGCAGCAGAAGACAAAGGTCTTCTAGAAGCTGGAGAAACAAATTTTTGGTTCTATTTCATGGATTTATTGGGAAGGCTGGTAAAAGAACCATTCTGTTCTGGGTACTACTTTGTCTACCAGTGTAGACCAAGACTTATTTTAGAAGCTGATACCTCTGTGGGGGAGACAGGGTAATCACCAGTCAAAACTGGGAAGGTGGCTCTCATGAGGAGTGGTCTTGCAGTTGAATAAAAACAAAAGAAAATCCATCCTACTTTGGTCCTAGGGCACAACTTTAGAAGTAACTGTTTAGTGTGCAACAAACATGGGTGTTATGTCTCATTTAAAGGAAAACAATAAATACTGGAGGTGTTGCTGCTATCAAACACTAAACTGTTCTCCTTAACTGTTGTTTCTTGAAAATGCAGCCAGGATTTTATAGTATACATATGAAGAATAGAAATGTTTCTGGTTTTAGAACTCAGGTTTTGATGTGATTCTATGTATCAATTTATATAGTTTCTACGAAAAGCAGTAAAATGTGACTGTGAAGCTCATGCACAATAAATGCAACTAAGGAAAAGTGTGAATTCTGTCATTTCTAAGCTCATGTACAGCTGGTGAAGACTGTTCCAGCAGGTGATCTGTGCAGGCTTTCTGTTATGCTGAAGTTCTCACAGCAGTTTTGGCACTTAAAACAAGCCAAAAACTGTTATGGCAAGGATAGCTCTGCACTCATTTTGAAGCTTTAAGTTTAGTTTTATTCTCTTTTCTGGGCAATGTTTTCTCCAGCACACTTCAGCCTTTCTCTGCCACTCCTGCTTCTCTCCAACATGAAGGAACAGGCTGCATAGTGTAGCAGAACAACTTTACTGTATTTTAAGGGCACTGCTCATAGCTTCCTCCTCTCCTTCATGACTCCTTAAGGTAAAACTTGGATTAACTGGCAGTACTGCTTTCCATGGAACATGGCAGCTGGAAAGCGAAGTGCAGGTTGCCATGTGTGAATGTGCACACCTCCTGCCCTTTGTACTTCACAGCTCTTTAAGTGCACAAATGATTAACGACTTGCGACATCTACCCTCCCATTTTTATATATTTATGATACCCCCCACTGTATCTCGCTTTCTTAGGATCTTCAAGCTTCTGAAAAAAATGACTTTTCATCCTTGTTCATTCACTTTCTAACCTGCGGCCATGGTGGGGCTACAGGGAGTTGTTGAGCAGGAGCTACCGGAGCATGGCGAGGATCGCGGGCAGCAATCGGCCCCTTTCCTCCGCACCCCTGCCTTCCACCGGCGACCTGGCTCCCTGCACGGGCGCTGGGCGTATTGTGATGCTACGTGCTCGGTGTTGCGTCACCGCGGGGCGGTGTGGCGTGGCATGCTGGGTGTTGTAGGCCGGCCGGGAGAAGGTCCTTGCTGTGACCGAGCGCTGCTGTGATATGTAAGCCGGTGCTTAAAACGCAATGTGAAAGGGGCAAACGGCTGGCGCTGTGCAAGCGAGAGAAAGCTTGGCTGTGGCCTCACTGCATCTGACAAAATCACGGAATCGTTTAGGTTGGAAAAGACCTGTCAGACCATCGAGCCTGGCCGTTAACCTAGCGCTGCCAAGTCCCCTGCTAAACCTGTCCCTAAGCACCACACCTGCATGCCTTTTAAACACCTCCAGGGATGGGCACTCTGCCACCTCCCTGGGCAGCCTGTTCCAAGGCTTGACCACCCTTTCGGGGAAGAAAACACCACAGCTCTGAAATTGGAGGCCGAGTCCTAGTTTTTCTGGTTATGCTGCATCTTGCTTATCTTACCCTCTGCCAGCATAAGCTTCAGTGCTGGGTGTTGTGGTGGTTAGTGCTAATGAGCTTCAGCACAACTCTTGGTCCACCAACCACCAACGTAGCCTGGGTAATTTCTCTGCAGCCCACAGCGTCCGCACCCGATTGCAGGCTGGACCTTCACTGTCTGAAGTAAAATCCATAGTGTGCTGCACACTCAGTAAGCAGTAAAGCATTAGGGAGAAGTTTCAGTAAAAAAAGTATCACCTTGGGAACCCAATGGTTTGCATGCACTTTCATAGAATCCTAGAATCGTTTAGGTTGGAAAAGACCTTTAAGATCATCCAGTCCAACCATTAACCTACACTACCAAGTCTACTCTAAGCCAATCAAGGGTAGACTAGGCTAAACCATGTCCCGAAGTGCCACATCTACCCGTTTTTTGAACACTTCCAGGGATGGTGACTCCACCACCTCTCTGGGCAGCCTGTTCCAATTCTTGACTACCCTTTCCGTGAAGAATTTTTTCCTAATTTCCAACCCAAAGCTCCCCTGGCACAGCTTGAGCCCTTTGCTTGCAAAGCTGTGCTTTGCTAACCACCAATGTAACCCTTCTCAGGCATGGTGTGGCAAACCTGCATGTAGGTGAGTAGACATGAATCTGAACAGCTGAAGAAATTAGTGATGCTTTTTTTATGCATTTCAGCAGCTGTAATTATACTTATTTGCAGATCCAAGCTCTTAACTTGGTAAGATCTAGTGGATTGCAACCGGGGCAGCAAGAAGGTAACAAAAAAGAAGTAATGTTTCCTAATATAAGTTGCAACTGTACATTTTTTAAAAAAGTTTTCTATTTTTTTATTTTGTTTTTTAATTATTATTCAGTTTGTACCCTAATAGCTTTTTGCTCCTGTAGAAAAACAATGTATATGTCTTTCAGGTTTGGGAAAACAAGTATTTCAGATCACCTAAGAAACACAAAAGATTCAGGGTTGCCCAAAATATGTTCACGCTGTGGGTTTTTTAATAATTTCTAGATGAAATGCGCTAAATATTTTGTACACATTAAAGGAAAGACATTGTGATGGTCTCTTGCAAATGCATGTCATATATAAGGGAAAAACTCTCAGTCGATATTTGTTTTCTGTTTCTGAATAGCTCATAGTGGAAATTCTACATAAATGCTTCAGCATTTCACCTCACAATGGAAATCACTGATTGCAAAAGGTTTTAATGTGATTTTCATGCTTTAAGGTTCTACTTGAATATGCAGTTAAGCAGGCTTGCCCCACTGAAGGTCATTCTTAATCCTAAAAAGAAAGTATCAAGGACCAAAGGCACTTGGATAGATGACAACCTAACTTTGAGGTAACTCTTGAGACGAGAAAAAGCATCCTCAGCATTGGACTGAGTTAGGCTTTTGGGCGTTATTGCTAACTAAAGATGTAGGTTGTGCTGTTTGTGCTGTTGGAGGGTTTCCCACTTTGTGCAAATATTTTGCAGCTTGATCACTGGCAAGAAAGATAAAGGCCGTCAACAGTAGTGAGAGATCAGTATGCTAATTGTACTTGTCTGCTGATGGTCAAACATTTGAAACTTATTTACCATACTAATGCTTCTCCTGATTGATGCTGATATAAATCTTATGTGACCTTTAGCAAAATTTGGCTTTGCGTGTACAGACACAGAGATATTTATAGCATATGTATGTGGCGTAAGGGAAGTATTTCCAGTCTTTATTCTTCTATAATTTCCTTTTTTCCATACTGGAAAGGGAAGAGGTGAATTGTTTATTATCCTTTGGGAACACACTAATCTACTGTTTCTCACCGCAGCCTTACATTTACCTCTATTTCCTGTTGACCTGCTGTTACATCATCTTGTATTTCACTCTAAAATAGCCAATATAGTTTAAAACACTTAATGAAACTGACTTTCAAATAAAATTTAAAATTTTCCTACGTAACTCTGCAAGACAAGGAGTTAATTCTAAGTTTCAGAAACTTGCATTTTGGCTTTCAGAGTTTGAGGTCTTTATTTACCTTTGGATCAAGTCTTCTGTTAGGTTGTGTCCATGCAAAAGTCAATTCTGATTTTCAATATGCAGCAATTTGTATTTGTACAAAAGTCCTTTAAACGTACACTCATACATGCACATGGAGAGTTCAGTTGGTTCAGCTCTTGTAGCACCGTGTCTGAATGCTTCACGTTTATATGCGTAATCACACTGTTATTGTGAAAATGGTTTTTACCAGATTAAGCTTATGTTGCACAAATCAAATGAAAATGGGTAGTTTCAATAAAGTCAAAGGCAAGTCCAGCTCAGATGAAAACAAGGTCCCTTGAAACCCTGCTCCCACTGAAGTTAAATATCAATGTAGCGTTGTGCTGTAGGAGCATCACTTGGCTCTCTAGCTCTACTATGCAAAACATCTAGCACTTAGCAATTTATAGTATCCAGCCTCTAATGGGAGAAGTTACCGCTCATTTTAGCTTCTGCTACACTTCAGACTACTTC